TGTGCCCAGAACAAGGAAAACTAGTTAAAAGGAAAAATAATATAGCTCTTTCCCTCTTCTTATACACATGTACAAACACACTCCTGGTAGGGAGCACAGACATACAAAGTACATACAAAGTAACTACCTTAAAATAACTATGTGGACTATCTGGGTCTTGAATTCACGGGGGAAGGGAACTGTATTTGCTCCTAACTTGGGTGCACTGCCTGAGCATGACAGTATGGTAAAGAATATTTTTAGCCAAACCCAAGCCTTTATCAGATTTCACAAAACACATTCCAATAGCCACAGAGTGAGATAGGTCAAGGCCAAGGGGCAGGCTTGGGCCGGCCAAAGCACTGCCACAGACAAAGGGTAAGACCGGCTAGACCCTCATGCTCAAGAAGGCTGCGCGGTATTACGCCACAGTTAGGTAAACCTTGCTTCTAATCCAGTCACATATCTTTGAAAGGAGCCTCACATCTCCCAAGTATAAGCTTTATCCCCGTGTTTTCAAATACGAAGACCCTCAGCCAGAAACTGGTATGAGCAAGAGAGGTCTTTGTGTGGGAGCACTTCCTGTTTTTCTTCCCTGGTCCCAATTCTTTGCAGCCCAACTAGAGGGGCTCTTGAAGGCGCAGAGGAGGTGCTGAGTGGCTAACTGAGCCCTCTCAGGGCTGCCTGGCGTGGAGGGGTTTTCAGCTTTATAAATAAACCGTCAGCTTGGGTATTATTTCTTGCTGTTTCTTTCTTTAGCTATCTTTGAAGTCAAATAAAAACAGTTGCAATGGCAGGCTTACTTTTATGACATCACAGTCGCCATGTGTCAGTGAAAGGAGCGTGCTTCCCTAGGCTTTCCCTATGTTTTCATTTTCTTTCTTGCGATTGGACACTTTCGAGCTAAAGCACATGCATTTCCAACAGATTCTGTCTTCTGTCTTTTCTACATTTCTTACCCCCAAGAAGTCAGGCAGAGCATCAACCAACGGAGAGCGGTTATGTATCCTCTTATGTGCAATCTTTTCCCTAGTTGACTTTCTAAAAGAAATACACGTTTATTTCCTTAAAACTACTGTCAGTTTTTCAGAGAGGATGTCGATTTTTAAAGAACATTTTGAAAACACGTAGTTAGGAACTAGAAACTAATTGTTTACAACACTGCAAATTAAGCAAATTCAAATTGCCTGAAGTATTAACTCTTCGATTCATCAAACAGCTCGGCTTTTAAGTTCCCATATTTTCTTCAATATAATCAATTAAGCAATAAATCTGGTACCCTTTTCCCTGAAGTTAGTAGTATGCAGAAATTTGAGAGATTGTTTTAATTGTTACAATTGCAGTGGAACTTATTCTTCTAAGAAAACTGAAGGTTAATGATTTTTGTCATATTGAGACTAAGACTTAACAATTGCTACAGTTAGCCTTTGTTGAGGTGGGTTTTTCTCCTCTCTGGGCCTTTTGAGGCATTCAGAATAGGTGACAATAGCTTGCAGTTGAGAACATATGTAGAGAGACCCCTGTGGCTTATTGGAAAAAGTTGTTCCATGCTGGTTGGGTGTTTGAAAAAAAAAATACAACCAGAGTTCTTTTATGTTCTGCTAGTTAATGAATGCATGACTGTCAAAATGGACCAATGGCCCATTCAAGGGGCAAAGCCTCAGCAGCCTCTTTCTTTAAGAACACATCCTGAGATGCAAAATACATTTGCTTAACCAATTAAAATAATGAGATAATTCAATTAGCTTCTTTTTTAGGGAAGAAAGAAAAAAGGGTACATCGGGGATTATTGTAATACAGGAACAGGTCACACCTCACAAAAGAGAATAAACCCAGTTGAAATAATGTTGAAGAGACTAATAATGAAGGAATGTACATTGAATCATGCACTTGCAAAGAAATCTACATGCAATAATAATTTAGGCGACATGTATTTTCAGTGGCTCCAGCCAACATTTCATTTGGAAAGTTGAAATTAATTAAATGACAGGAAAATATACTGGGGCATCTTTATTTCCGACTTCCTCACGACTGTTAGTGTGTGGAAGAAAGAAGTCTAAATTAACATGTCGCTGGTTAGGGGTCTCTATTCTTGGTTCCTGAGCTCAGAATTACAGCTGAGTAAATCTTCCAGCTCATTAAAGACTGGAAAGTAAAAGTTTTACGGGACCATCCTCATCAAAGTGGCCAGACCCCTCTGCAGTAAAGAGAAAGTGGGAGACCCTGTCAGAGACAGCCAGGGAAGCATTTCCTGCAGGTCCAGGGAGGAGCAGAAAAGGCAGGGAGAGAGATGGAAGACAAAGGGTGGGGGGTAGTGAAAGGGGCAAGCTGAGAAAGGCCATGGGAGGAGAAAGCAAAGCGCTCGGTGGAAAGTACAAAGCGGGAAGGAGGAGAGCAAAGGACATGCGCCAGGCTGGGATACACCACCACCCTGAGCAAAATCAAAATGAACGAGCTCAGACGCTACATGTTCACTGACTTTTAAACATGTGAAAAGGTCCAGAGACATTCGTGCCCTTCACTGAAGTCCAGAGGAAAGCCAGACCTGTGATACGGGCTGCCTGATTCCCACTAGCAGGTTATTTGAGCTTTTTCTCCTACTCTAAGGCCAGGTATTCATGGAAAGCCCTCCCCCGCCCGCCCGGGGCTGAGGAGAGGTTCCTCTTCCAGAGGATCCTTCCACAGCACCACAGATGCACAAGTGCCCAGAGCCGTGGGCCACGCACAGCCCTCAGCCAATCACAGTCCAGCACAGGGAGGTGGGAGTGGAGAGGGAAGGGGCACAGCGCAAGTCGGCACCTCCTGGTGAGATTCTGCTCACACAGTGTGGCGGAAAGCCTTCCCCCCTCAGAAAGGCTCAGGGAGCAGGGCACCTTAAACACAAGAACACAGAACCTCCGCCTCCTTCACATCCCTAATCTGACCTGGACACACACACACACACACACACACACACACACACACACACACACACACACACACACACACACACACACACACACACACACACACACACACACACACACACACACACACACACACACACACACACACACACACACACACACACACACACACACACACACACACACACACACACACACACACACAGGTTCCCGAGGCTTGAGAGTCACACTTTTGGCTCTCTGGCTTCGGCTTCCTCCTTTGTAAACAGGATGGCCCATGACCTGATACTCTGGGATGTTGGTCTTGATGACAGAGGTCGCACACACGCACATTTTAGCTTGGAAAGCAACTGAGTCGTGATTTTCCAACAGGAAAGGACAGGTGAGCTGGTGCTGGAGGCAGCCCGCGGCCGGCCGGCCAGGGAAGCTGCCTGCCTCTTCCAGCTGTTACCCAGACCAACAAACCTCCCGTTAAGAACGAGAAGGCCCTTCCCTTGTGCTCGCTCCGCTTTCAAATTAAAAACATTTTACAGGTTAGCAAATCTCCAGCCGAGGTGATGTAGCAAAGGACAGCTGTGAAGTAATTTTGATAATGATGAGAATAATAACCACACGGTAAGGTTCAGGGCTTTGCTGTTGCAGCTCCAGTGCTCCTGAATAGATAAAAGTGATTAAATACTCCTGATTATCCCTGACCAATATGTAATGGATTTACAGCCCTTTCAATTAGTCAGTATTTGCTTAGGACTCATTATTTCGTCTTTGGTTAAGTAATCAGCCCAGAGACTGCATGTTCTGTCTAATTCCTTGGAGCCAAGCGGGTGCAGGGCCCTGACCTTTGAAACGCCCATAGCTGGAAGGCAGGTCTAACCACCACCACAGCAGCCCCTGGGTTCCTTGGCTCTCCCCGCTAATCCGAACACCACAGGCCACATCCATACCCCTTAGTTTGCCACTAATGTCCTCCCATCAAAATGGCCGACTTAGGAATGAGACTCTCTCCCTTTCCCTGCCCACCTCCACCCCCCCCCCCTTGCCCTCTGCTGTCTTCTGAAAAGAGCAAACCAGCAACAACTACCATAAATAAGAGGGGAGCCTTGTCCTGCACCCGTGACACAGCATGGCGACACACAAGTTGGATAATCAAAGAAGAACTGCCACTTTTAACGTGCTACTGTGTTCTGAAGCATTAGCCTACATTGAACGGCCGGAAAAAAGCAGTGAGACACATTCTCTGAAATTTTTACCATTCTCCAAGATTTTCCAAATGGACAATAAAATATAAGCCTAGCTCTTCTGCAAAGTATACTGTCATCATCCGTCATGAGAGTCTTAGAGTCAACAGTGCATACCTACACATACCGACCAAAACATAAAACTGATTGCCAACAGGAGAATATAAATCGTTATGTTTTAAATGTGGCACATAGTTTATCCTCTCCCAGAAGTGAAGAGGGCTAGCTTTACATCTAGTGCACTTGAACAGCTAAAACAGAACCTACACCTCCCACCCTGCAAACGAAGGCCTTACAGCAGCCACAAACTCTCACATTTCTCATCTAGACGAGGACACGTCTGCAGACCACAGCCACGGGTCAAGCTGCAGCGGATCCCAGGAGCTGGGATAGGCATGTGGCAAAAGGCTTTTCTTTCCTTCCTTCCTTCCTTCTATCCTTTCTTTCTTTCTTTTTTGAGTTTAGAGGAGACAGCTCTCATTAATATTGAAATCAGCAAGGACTAGGGACTCTTAGAGACTCTTTATGGACTTCTTAGAGCCATTTCCTCTGGTTGAAGTTACACTCTCTAGATTTGCTATCATATCTTCCAATATAAATAACAAATTTATTAACACACACACACACTATTTAGGGAGCCTGGACCCTTCTGAGTAAGGTCCATTGTTTACCTCTTAAAACACAAACCTATTCCTTTCTGGAGAAGCTCTTGGAATGCTAAGAGCTGATAAAACCTCAACTGTTCATTACTCAATGAATTTCAAGAGAAAAAACAGGCACCTTAATTTTTTTTTATTTTCAAATCTGTGTGAGACTATGTGACTTGCTAGGCGAATGTAACAAAGCAGTACAGCGGCTTCCGCTTCTAATCCGGACTTACCGTGAGGTGCTGGAAGAGCCACGCTCTCATGATGTTGGTTGCTACTTTGGGGAAAATGCCTCTTTTCTTTTGGCGTTTTTTGTCCTTGTCTGGGTCGTCGTCGTCGCCTGTGCCCGGCGAAGCTACACTGTTGTCCAAACCATCCCCTGGTAGGAAGACAAGAAAATGTATCAGAAGAGACGTGGTGAGCGTGCCCACAACAACATCCAGCTGATGATGAGCTCAGCTAGGCTTGTTGAAAGAAATCCATTAAGCAGGAATATTCTCTTTCATTAAAGTATAATTGGAGACACAAATATGTAAAAGACAAAATTAAACCAGGCCTCTTCAAATGTTAATTTTGTGTGTCTCACACTCGCCCGTATCATTAATGCAATTATAATTTGTGTGCTTGATGCAAAGCAGTAGCTCTTTGTCAATTATGGGATCCAATGTGGGAAAACCGCCCTCCACAAGCCCGTTGGGTGGAAACACCTCCCCACGCCCACAGAGAGCACAGACTGCCAGGTAATCAAGTTCAATGTTCTGTAGTCTATATATTCTAGGCTGTCTGCATAGGTGACAGAAGCTGTGTCACTGGCGATTGCACATAACACACTGCCTACTCAGCCCCCTCCTACAACTGTCACCTCCTAAGCACGCACGTTCGCACACTCATGTGACCCTGCATGCCACATTTGCATGACATGAAAACTTTTAGCTCTCTGCACCACTGATCATTATTACGAAGGGGAAAGGAAAAAAGGAGATGCACATCAAGGTAGGGTGCTCACTTAATCAGAAGTTTCCATCAGCATCTTTCTCTTCTGTGCTTTTCTCTGGCATTAATTGTGCATTAGCAAAAATCATTTACTTTTAACAGTCATACTTATTTTTTCTTGCCCTCCGGCAAAAATGCCTTGAAAGCCTGCCTAGAGGGCATCTAAATTATGTATCTGAAAAACTCTTCTGGAAAGGCATTGCAGGACCCCTGCTTTCTTAAAATTCATACGAGCACGTCTCCCTGTTTTGGGGAAGGCATCAATCAAGAGCAGCAATATATGCCACATCCCTACATTAATATTTGAACTAATAACTTTAAAAAAAGGAAAAGAAACAAGATCCGACTTGTGGCATAATCAAATGCAAAATAAATGAAGAATTCGAGGACAGCACTGGGGCTTTATAGATGGCTGTGTTTTCCTTACACATCATTAGCCTGCAGCCACACGAAAGAGGGAAACAGGGAAGTGGAGAGTTTGTGTTCCCTGCTGATGTTTAAGAAGCTGGGGCCTGGAAGGACATGTGGGAATTGCGCTGCCATTTCTTTTTTTTCTTTCTTTTTTTTTTTTTTGGTAATTTAAGAATAGACATTCGTTAGCAGTAAATGCCATAAATCCCATGCTAAGTAAGAACCTTGTCCAAGAAAGCCTAGAACAATAAACTCTGTGCTCAGGGTAGCCTGAGCTGGACGCTCCGCAGCTTCCTGAGGAATGCCACAGATCTACCAGCTCACTCCCAGGCCTGGCCCCACCTCCAGCTGCACCACGCCACAGCCACAGCACAGACTTCCTGCCCACCGGGCCACGGGGCCACCGGCCTCCCAACCTCTGGGTCTACACAGCAGGCTTGCCTGTACCTGTTCTTTTCCTTTCTCACCAAACTTCCCTCCCTCCCCCCAATCTCCTTTGACCAGAGAAGCAGAAAAACCACAGCAAAGAGCTGGCAGATTAATTTTATTGACATTTCCATTTTCACTGCAACGCGATCCCCTCCATCACATGGAGGAGATGACCCTCACTATTTACAGGCTGGCAGGGTACTTCATTACAACCACCCTGCCCCAGGGCAGGGCACGCCTTCCATCTGCCCAGACACTACAGCATGACCCTGAAGTTGCTGTTCTCTTTTTCTTTGCCTTCTGTTATGATAAAAACAAAAGGGGGGGGGAGGAGGGGAGAGAGAGAGAGACTGAGACAGAGGGAAAGAGGAAGGAAGGGAGGGAGGGGAGGGAGGGAGGGAAGGAGAGAGGGAAGGAGGGAGGGAAGGAGAGGAAGAAAGAGGGAGAGATGTCCAGATACTCAAAAAACAAATCAATGAACAGAAAACAAAAGGCATTTGACTTCTGAATACCATAGAGCCTGGTCTTCCTCTGTCTACCCTTCCCACATGGAGGGGGAGAAGGGGAGGGCCTGTACAAGACACACACACTTGCACAACCCACACCCACCCAGGGACACGTGCATGCACTTCCCACCAAGCCCGAGGACCTGCTGCCAGGCAAATTCTCGCCCACACTAATGGCTTCTGACTGCTCCCTGGCAACCCCGGCATTTCAACCTGGGTGGATGTTCTCTCCAAAATACAGGCACGGGAGCCATCTCGTCAGCTGCTCTGTGTCACAGATGGAGCCTGGCTATTAGGAGCCAGGCCCTGGGCCTTGGGGATGTGAGGTGCTGTTCTGTAGCCTGAGGCAATTTTGAAAAGCAGTACCCGGAGATGGAGGGGAAAAAAATCTACACTGCAAGTGCAGGTTTGAAGTCAGTCAGTCTGTCTGTCTACCCACTGTGGATAGAGACATCTTTGTCTCTTAATGTAAAATCTGTGTGGCTATCTGAATGTACATTTCAGATAATGTATGTATAGAGTAACTCTTCCGCCAGTACCGTCTAAATATAAAAACACACTCTGTAAACAATGCCTGTGTGTATATATTTCTTCCTAAGCACATATGGTTTCTGTGTATATGTTTAAGCTGAAATTGTCAGGATTTTGTTAAAATCTCATTTAGCGTTTGTGATAGATTTTTGAATACATTTGCTTTAAAAGGTTAATGACTTAATTGAAGGAAGTTCAACCAAAAAAGGCATTTACCTTTTTAACCCAATCAATGACCTTCAAAATGAAAGACAGCATTTCCATGGTGCGTTTCTCTCATTTAAAAGCAAAGCGTTGATAGTGCCTGCAGACTATATGATTCACTATATTTAGCTCCACAGAAAACACACAGCTAGCCTGTGCTGACTGACTTCAGTCGGAGGAAGGGAACATTACATGAATTTTAATGTGAAGCAGTCCATTTTATATAAATGTTGTGAAATAGCTGAGTTTAAATCCATGTGACAAATAATTACAAACAAAAAATATAAGTCGTTTCATACTGACAAGTAGACACTAAACAGAAGGCCTTTAATATTAGCATTCAGACTTCTATAAAAAGAGGAATTTTCCACTCCCAGATAGAGTGCTGCTGGTTTTTGTCCAATGGACTATGAACCAACTTCAGCTTCGAGTACTCACACAGCATAAAGGAAATTTGTGAAAGGCAACTGTGTTCTGCCACCTCAAATAAAACGGTGCGGATGCTGCAAGCAGGAGGGACCCTGCAGGGACTACTGTTTTTCACGTGAAGGCTGAGTGTGCACAAGATGGCTGGCCCGCGTGCCGGGGGAGCGCCCTGCCCAGGCCGGGCACACCAGCACAGGCGCACGTGCCGAAGGGGTATGAAAAAGCTAGGATCATCCATCTCGGTATCTAAACTTCCGCTTACTCTCAGAGCACGCCTCCATGCCTCCGCAGAGCAGGTGCACCACCCCGGCTGGTGAGTGGATGACTGCACTGATCAATGAGCTGTTCAAGGACCCTCCCCTTGCTCTGAAGGCTGCCGCTGGGAGCTGTGCTCCTGCAGTACCTAAGGCTCTTTCTGGAGGAGAAGCACTGTCTGTTGTGCACACTTGCTCCTAAACATGCCCCGAGTGGTGCTGCTTTGAAGACTTCTGTGCCCATGAGGGCCTGTCTGAGCAGCTGCCAAAGGCCACTCTTCTAGCACAACCCATTCCAAGGAGCAAATGAAGAAGCACCACACATGCTTCCTTTAAAAAGCTGATGATCCCCTCCCCCAAGGCACCACACCTAAGTTTTAGGCATGGTACTCACAGTAGATGTGATGGGACATTATGTATGTGACCATGAAACGAAGTACTCAAGGCAGATAAATGGGAAGACTATTAAATGCCCAGGGGAGACTGCTACAGACACGGGGCCGAGGCCTCACCTTAGAACCACTGAATCAAAGCAGCCTGGAGCACAAACCAGGAATCTGTATTTTTAGCAAGTTCCTTAGGTTTGCTTATGCAATCAGCCTGGCACCGGTTCTTTACCGGACTCTTGGGACCCATGCAAGTAGATGAGCTAACTCAAAACAAGATACCAGAACATGAGGCAGTCAACTTTCTACCCTGCTCCCCTGGATGGGAGGGCAGTCAGGACGCATGGGGATTGTCTGTCCTGGGCCGTATGCACTGCAGAAACTCCTCGCGTCCTGGTCCTCTAGTGGTGAGAAGTAAATAGAACCAAAGAAGGTGTCGACTGCTAGTTCTCAAAATGAGACTAATTGCTTTAGTATCTGCTAAGAAACTCTGAGAAATGCACTCTTTCAAGGGTCCAACCTAGAATAAGAAAGGGCTGAGTCTGAGACCCAACCATCTGAGTGATACTAGGCCCCTCAGATGGCTGACACCATGCACCTTGGCCACCGCTGGCCTTCAGCATGGGGGGCTCCGCACAGTCAATTCACCTTGCCGTTAGAGGCCTGAACTGAATCTCTACAGTCGGCCTTGGTTTGAAGATCCTGGAGGATTGAAAGCATCTATTTAGATCTTACCCCAAGCTTCCAAGAAGTCCCACACAGTTCCCATAACGGAGGAGACCAAGTGCAGAGCCAAGCATAGTGTTGGCAAGTGGTTTCAGCACACATCTTCCTAAAAGAGCACTGTGGACAGACAGTCCAGTTGTGGACTGCTAAATCCTGAGGAGCCAAGTGCACTCAGGTGTAGGCAAACATCTATGTCCAGCTGTGCATCAGGTGAATCGACATGAGAACCAATGAGAGACAGCCCTCCGATGACCCAACAGCAGAAATCACCGTCCATACAACCTGGTCACAGAGGCTACCGGGCAAAAAGCCTTCCCTCTTCTGGTCTATTGTCTTAGTTCATTTAGTCTCTATTTACATACCAATTTCATGGCACAGAATAAGAGTCTGGCACCATGTTCCCATTCTATCAGAAACACACTGGTCTGTCTCTAAAAGTGGCCGTCATTTAAAGTGAGGAAACTGAGGCAGGGCTCAAACCCCCACTTAAGATTCTACAGCTTTGTAGGGTCC